ATTCCTGACTCATTGAGTCTGTCCCCAGAGATGAGTGCAGGATTAGCCTCTACACTAAACCCAGGCATTTTATCTACCTGCTTCCTGAACTTCTTTAATGACAGGCCCTCAGCAACCTACCTCTGGCAAATTATTGCATTGTCTAAATGATGACCCTGCTGGAAAAAAGTATTTTGAGGTTGAATGTAAATTGCATCTTATTTCCTCTTTCATATTTTATGCACTTATCAGTCACTCTTTCAGTTGCCTTTTCTCTAGGTCTCTGTATTAAGTTTCTTCAATGTAATACCGGAGGTCATAGCCTGTAGTCTTTGTCATGTCTTTGGATTACCTTTAATTTATCAATGCCTTTAAAAAAAAGGGGAGAAAAAATAGGAAGGAAGTAAGAACAGGATGACTTCAGAGCCATCTCGGAGCATGTGACTGTGTGCTGGGGTACCACAGAGACCTCTGTGTGTAGACACCTGCATGGATGTCTGAACTACAAGCACACCCAGGACTGAAAATGAGTGAGGACAGTGATTCAGGGATGTCTGATTGACATCTGTGCACATGTTTCAATGAGGGAATAACCAAGCAAGTGAGCACAAGAGCTCCAGAAACTGATATACTGTAACGTTTCCTAGTCTCCCTTTGCTCTGAGCATCAGACTGCAGCTGGAGCTGCCTTACCCTGTAGTAATCAGTGCTGTAGACATCTCTTGACATCCCAAAGTCTCCAATCTTCACCAGCAGGTTGGCTCCGACCAAGCAGTTCCTGGTGGCCAGGTCTCTGTGGACAAAGTGCTGGGAGGCAAGGTACACCATTCCAGAGGCGATCTGGCTAGCGATGTGGAGCATCTGGGATAGCCCTAGCTCCCCTTTGGCTTGTCGAGGCTGCCCATCCACGAGGATCATAGCATCTGGGCCATGTGCCCTATAGGGAGGAAGAAGCAAAAAGCATAGAGTTGGGTCTCAAAAGTGACCAGAAGATAGGAATCCCACAAGGTCGCTGTTCCTGCTGGGGTGGGGGCTAGCCCCCAAGTCTGCACTGTGAGGATGCACACACAGCTCCAGTGGAAAGAAAAAATAAAAGCTTAAGAGAACAGGAGGTTGAGGGAACATTTGGTGGGTGAGTGGGTGCCATACATCCTTCTCCTATCCTTACCCTACTGCAAGCGATCTCTCATGGCCGCAAGTGGAGACAGACTGCCAGGACAGAGGGATCACTGGCTTGATGCAACATGGACATTCTTCTCTGGCAAGACATATGCGAAAACTAGTGAGCCTCCAGATACTTACATGTTTGCTCCAGTTAATTCTTATACCTTGGAAACCTTCCCAGAGGTAGAGATATCATCCCCTTTTCTTCCACAGCCATCATATTTTTGTTACCTGATCTCTTTATTAATCCCAAACAGCCTCCCCTATTTCCTCTGAACACCATATGGCCAAACAACTGCCCTCTGATTGATATCAATACAGCCAGAGATCACAGAAAAGGTTTCAGGTGAACACAAGCAGCTTCATCCCTGGAAAATACCTTTTATACCCTAAGCTATCCCAGAGATAACACAGGTACTGTGAACTGTGAAGGCACGAGCACAGGTGCAAAGGTTAGACCTGGATGTCAGCAGATGTAGAGAACATCCTGCACAACAAAAGGAAATATATTGCTGAACCAAGTACATTGTAAATGCAGGACTTACGGTCAGTCTCATTGCTGTCCTGTGCCCTTTTTAGTCCCCTTCCTCACTGTGTACCAAGCCTGTCTTTGCCATGCTCCCTCTGTGATGTCTCTTCCCCTGGTGCGTCTCACCCTGTTGTAGCCTATGTGAAGGTAGAATAACAAAAGCCCTCATATTTAGGGAAAAGCAAGAGCTTTTGCTGTGACCTTCCTCCTTGTGACTAAGATACAGTATAGCATCTCCTCTGAGTCTTTCATACTGTTCTCTTTGAAATGACTCTTGGCATTTCACCCCTGTCATCAGCGGTAACCCAACAGAGAGACAGCAATTTGTAATTGCACATACAGAGCTTTCCCTCCTTCTTGACATGGGACTGAACAACCCACAGGAAGATCCAAACTGTGCCTCCTTTGTCTCTGTTCCCTAATTGCTCTGTTGGGCTTGAGGGTGCACCAAGGGATTAGCATTTGGGTGTTTGGAGTTCAAATGATAGTTTTTCAAATGCTACCCTCTTCAGCTACCTCCTGCTGCCCTGCCACTGGGAACACGGCCCTGAAGGTTCTCTCCTGGTAGAAAGGACAGCTGGAAGAGAAGAGGAACTCCAGAAATCAGTGCTAAAGAGCCAGGGGTAGTTTTGGGGAGCCACAAGTGTGTGATGCTGCAGTGAATGTGGGATGAGCTGGCTGGGGCCAGCACTGCGGCAGCAGGAGTCTTGGAAGCTTGTGGGCATGGTGGGAGCAGCAGCACACTGGAAGGACTGCTGAGGGCAAGGAGGGGCTGCAGAAAAGTGTATGCAGAAATGACTCCTTGATGTCTTATTTAAACAGCCTACAGATGGGTTTACCCCAGGAAATTACCTGCTGGCAACCACAGATGTTGACAGCAGGTGAAGCTGAGCCAGAACTGAGCAGGTTAGCCAAGAACAGCAAAGCAGGACAAACAATAGCTTCTAAAACTGTGCTGGACAGTTTGTACCAGTCATGCCTTGCAGTTACACCATATTCAGCTGCAGCTGATACCTGTTGTCATCAAAGGTAAACATTCCTATGTGAGAAGTGAAGGATATATTACTATCTCATTACTGCCACCTTTTTCAAATACAATAATGGCCTCCAAAGAAATGTCTGTGAAGGAACACATGGTGTTTAAAAAATGGTCAACCAACACCTTTATTTCACTGGGTCTTTGTACATCTTACTATATAGGACACATCTCAGTATGTCCTATATAATACATACATCTTCCTCCCTTTCTCCATCCCACATGGTTATAGTCCAAAAGAAAGAGGTATCAACACATTTATGAAATTAATGTACTAATATCCCTCCTGTTAAGTTGCGTCAAGAAACCTCCAGGGAATACGAGAGGGATCTGCCCATCTCTTCTTGGAGAAACGGGTTTATTTCATCTTTACAGAAAGGCCTTGAGATTGTGTGGATCCCCTGTTAAAGAACTGTTGGGGATTCTTTCTATTATGGAGTCGTGGAAGCTTTTGCCAACATGGGGAATAAAATTGCCCCTCTGGCTTCTTCTGCTGAAGTGCCTCTTTCTGTCCCAAGACAGTCTGAATGTGGGGCCACTGCACTGGAAGGACTGACATATAAACATCACAATTATGCAACTTTTCTAACAAATTCTATTGCCTTTCTGAGTTAACAGCAAATGGCAACAACATGCTATAGACTGCAAAGAGGGTTGCTATAGACTGCAAAGAGGGTCTGTAAAGGCAACATGCAAATATCCCTACTTGAAATGTGCTGCTGCCACAGACAGCAAACAAAAGCTAGGAAACCAGTGACAGACGGAGAGGGAAGAACCGGTGGAGATACTCAGTGAGCAGAGAGGGAAGGCGGTTGCTGCCGACCCCCGAGCAGCAAGTCTGTGTGCCAGGCAGCATCCAGCCTTGCCACAGACATCCTGCAGGCAGTCTCCAGCCCCTGTGTGCACCAGCCCCAAGGATGCCGTGCTCCCTGCAGAGCAAAGTCTGTATTTCTCCATGCAGGATCTTTTCACTACCCCTTTTCTATTAGCCAGGACACCACAACTGCAGTGTCCCCTGGTGCAGAGAGCAGGGTAAGCTGTTGTAACACCAGAAATGGTTTCACACACAGGGCCCCTGGGAGGCATGTAGAACCATCCCAATAGATGCCACCTCTAGGCCATCTGGTGGGTGTTGATCCTAGTGCTTCCTCTTGCCACACCAGTTAATTTTACAGACAAATAAAATTCTCTGTCTTCTGTGGGAAGCACACAATGGCCTAACAACACTTAGGGGAATTTATTTATTGTGCTTTTCTCTAGGAAACTGGGTCTAAAGTGAGCCTCTTCCATTTTATTTCTTTTCCAATTTCTGTAGTTAAACTGGGAAGAGTCCATATGAGTGTCTCTTACAGACTCCCAGTGTCCCTGGCCTCCAGTGCCTGGGAGCAACTGTCTCCTGCTGTGGACTGGGTGAATCATGCCACAATAAAAACTGCTTTTTACTGAGGGATGCCAGGCACTCCTACACCACTGACCCTCTCTGACCCCTTACAGCCCCTGTCCCCCAGAGTCTCCCACCAGCAGATAGCCGACCTGACAAACAAAGCCAAAGACTCTCTTTCCGTATGCCCCCTTAGGAGTTTTAAGTTCCCATTTATTAGGTATAAGGTCCTTTGTCCCAAAAGCCAGCTTCCTTTGGGACACAGAGGGATTTCACTGCCTATCACACACCAACATGCAGAGAAGGGAGCTCGTAGCTGCTTGCTCCACAGATGCATGAGAAGGAAAATCTCAGCCAAATACAGCTGGAAGATGTGCGGCTGTAATCCTGGGGACCACGCACTGGAAAGTTTCTTTTCTTTTGTAAGAGCCAAAGATAATACAACAACGAGCTTTTGTCTCCAGTGACACAGGGACAGGCCCTGGTCTCCTAGGTTGCGAGTGTTTCTCAGATATCCCAGGGAATGGCTGGGAGATGGGGATGGGGGGGTGCATGGCTTCAGCACAGTATCAGCCTTAGGAGCACACTGTTGTGCGAAGCAATTCCATGAGGCAATGCAGTGGGCACAAGACATACCTCTGTGACAGTGAGAACCAGTTTTGGACTAAACTGTTTGGGAGGTCAGTTAGAACAGAGCAGGAGGCTATGTCTCAGCTGTAATGTCTACCTTCTCTAAAGAGATAAGGTTACTGGTTCTGCCAGGAAAAAAGATGGGTCAATTTTCTGCTCTTCCTTGTGAAGCACTTCAAGAACATGGTGTCTCATGCTCTATTTAAGACTGCCTTCCCCCAGTCAGAAAGCTGAGGCACTGTCCTTAACACTGCGTCTCCAGTCTTCACTAAAACACCGTTTTAGCCCAATGCACGGTTTCATGCCTGCAGGCAGAGTTCAATCCACTGCTGCTAGGAGGTTGCTGAGCCCTTGCAAGACAGGGTACCACAGGAGAGGGTCCCAGGTGGCGTGGTTTTGCCTCACTTTGCAACAAAGAACCACGCAGTTACTCTCTCACTCCTTCCCCCTCCCCAGTGGGATGGGGAGGAGAATCAGGAGGAAAAAGGCAAAAACTCATGGGTTGGGATGAGAACAGTTTAACAGAAAGGCAAAGGGAGAAGAAAAAAACAATCAATAATACTGATACAAAGCATATACAACATGCAGTGTTCTCACCACTCAATGCTTAGCTTGCTCCTGAGTAGCAAAAAGCCTCTTCTTCAGCCAGCTCCCCACTTAAATACTGAGCATGACATCACATGATATAGAACATCCCATTTGATTGGCTGTTTGGGTCAGCCCAACCAGCTTCTTGTGAAAATTAACTCTATCCCAGCTGGAGCCAGGACACCAAGGTAATCAAGGCTGCTCCCCCTTGAATGTGGGTATGAGGAGCTCTGCAAAGCTAGTGTAGCATCAGCCTCCACTCATCCTACCTTGTCAAGGATGTCATGTATCCAGAGGCTGAGACAGGGACTGAGCTATAAAATCATATTCAATCTACCCACAACTGTGCTAAAATGAGGACAAAGAAACCTTTGGGGTCCTTCCCCCTTCTGGTGTAGATGATTGCTTAGAAACTAAAACCTCATGGAGGGAGCTGTGTTTCCTGGTCAGAAACTGACTGTGATGGTGGAAAAATAATCGTTGCGTGTATCCCAACCCCAGATCTATACCTGCTGTGCTCAAGCTTCTTGTTCCTGCTGCAATCATGTTCACACTTAGCAGTCAAAACAGGAAAATATCAAGGGTCCAATTTTCTAAAGACTGGGAAATAAAACTACTAATTATTTCAAGAGGCAAGTACCACTCCACTTGCACGCAGGTTTCAGTGGGTAATTTCTGTATCGTGGGAGAACAGCACCACAAACATCCTCCCACGGTTGCTCCCTGCCCCTCATCGCTGGCAGATTCAGGGCACACAAATGATCTGCCTCATGCTGATCAAATGGCTGAATGATGACTGGGGGGTCCTCCAGAAATTTGTATCTCTCTAGAGGCAGGGAAGGCAATTATGGCACTTCTTCAGGCCTCGCCTAGCTTCTTGAGTAGCGTGATGACATGGGCCTAGGATATTTTGTACCTCAGTGAGCGTCTCTGTCTGATAAAGCTTAGGGAACAAGGACCAGGGCTGGACTCCACAGGCATTGCCTGAGACCCCTCCAACATCTCTCAGGTCTTTTCTGAATATAGGAAGGAGAACTAGACATCAATAAATACCCAGGATACCAATCAGACCAAGGATTCCAGCAAGTTTCTCGAAGGAATGTTTTGGTTCTGGTGCTACTGAAGCTGGAGCTGGGTGACATGGGGAGTGATGGATAGTAGCCTTCCTCCTTCAGCAGGGTATGGCTTTGCTGGGTGGATGGGACTCTGAGCTGCTGACAGCCATGGCTTCAAGCCCTTCTACCTCCACAGGGCAGAGACGGATTGCAGCCATGCTTCCTGGAGCTTCAAACTTGCTGAGGTGGGAGAAGAAAAGTCTGGTTTCCATAGCTCACAGGGACCGCCCCCGAGACTACCTAAGAGAAAATGCTGGGGCAGGGCTAATAAAGTACCAAATCTCATGAGGACCAGCATCTCCTACAAGCTGTCCTTGAAACAAGCATCTTTCATTATCCAGCCCACCAGCATTCACGTGGCAGTGGTGTAACTGCTGTACCAGATATGTATAACAAGCCACAATGAGGCTGTAGAGCAGCTGTACAGCATCTCCCATGCCTTCCTCCACACGTACCTCAGGAACTTGTTCAGGTCCCCGTGCTTCATGTACTCGAAGACCATGATGAGTGGGTCACCATCACCACACACGCCATAAAACTTGACAATGTGCTCATGCTGCAGGTTGGTGAGCAGCTCTGCCTCCCTCTGGAAGTCCTTGCGGGCTGCCAAGGTGGGGTCTTTCAGTGCCTGAAAGAAGGGGCACAGATACACACAGGGTGGGCTCAGGTAGGGGCAAAGCCAGAACACATGGGTCGCAGTGTCACAGAGGAGCTGATGAGGAAAGGAAGGGAGTGGAACCACTGCCACTGGCATGGTTGCATTGGGAGGACAGGTGGTAGGTGCCGGTGGCACCACCTCGGCATTTTGTTCATGTAGTTACCGGCCCAGTGGGATCCCCAACTCATTTCCCAGGCAACAGCAAACATGCCTCAGAGGGTAATAGCTTCCAATTATTCCCAACTCGGGCAGGATTTGTACTGGTGACCTAGGGGTGAATGGCTTCATATCTCATTATTATTAAATTCCTGAGCCAGCCAGTCCTTGCTATCTGTCTTTTATTTTGAAATAGCTGACTACACTGCCTTGATTCAGAAGATGGATTTGCCTGGCTGTGCAGTTATTGTGTGGATTTTTCAAACTGCCTCTGAAGAAGGACACTGTCAAGTCTTTTCTCATGATTTTTAAAATCATGTTTTTCTTCCCTGCTGTTTATAACAGCTCCCCTGGCAGACAGATGCTGAAATCGGTATCCTTAGTTAGAATATCTCATCTTCCACATTGCCATTGCACGGTAGCCTGTGGGCTCAGTGGACTAGCCCAATGTCGCCAAGTTGCTATGAAGATATCACTGTGGGTGCAGCCAGTGACCAGGGAGGGTTCCCCAGGGTTGCAGACTGGCTTGTCCATGCATTATTGTGCAGTTGCATCAGAGAGCTAGTCTGAAAGCAGCGTGTTGTTATCCCAGAGTATCAAGGGGGGGTACTTAGTAAAAAAGTTGAAGTCCAGAACACTTGACAAGATGGTATGGCCACAAGAATCAGAATGGTCTTTGCAACATTTAAGGAAGAGGCAATTCTGGTTTTGAGTTGCTGGGCCTCAGTTATATTCTCCCAATCCTCCACATGCCAGGACTGTTTAGTACCAGTTCTGGCTTTAGCCATGCAGCCTAACAGGAGCGGAAAAGGATTCCGGGCAACTTGTTCCAGTTATCCCCAGATTCAGTCTGATGTGCACTGGTTTCCCCTCAGTGGTGGGGAACACTAGGTAGCTCCCCCCCTTACTTACACATAAATACGCCTGCCCCCTATTCCCCCTGCCTTGAATCCCCCCAAACACAAAGGAGAGGTTGGCATCAGCAGATGCAGGCTCCAATTTACATGCAAAAAGGGATGTTGAGCATCAGAATGCTATGCATAGAGTAAGGGGCTGAGCACACTGCTATTGCACCTCCAGCTGGTCTATGGCACTGGGTGCAATGCCATGCACAGCAATGTAGTCAGTAGTAAGGACACTGCCTCATCTCCTCTTCTGCTCCCAAACTGCTAGTAACATGGCATAATTTAATTTCAATTCCATGTCCTCTGGGATAGCTTAACTAGAGATATTTAGATGGATGTTAGTTACACTGTGCAGATGGCAAAGCATCCATCCTTATCTCAGGCACCCAATTACTTTTAGTCATTTAATATCTTCATAAAGTTGATGCTACCCTATTTTTCCCAGGAAAACAGTCCCCTCCCCCATCACTCTTTTCTCCCCCTTTTTCCTGTCATTGCATGTAATATTTCAAGCTGCAGTGAGATTAGGTTTCCTCTCTTTCACATACAATCATTTCTACAGGTGTTGGGACTGTGAGTTTGTAAACATCACACACACACAAAAAATTGAAAACACACATTATTAAATTTGCGGAAGAGAAGGAATGCCTCAGCAAAACCACTGAAATGCCACTCCTAGGAAAGTATGGGGTAGATTGTATTTGTGCCTCCATCACATGATGCCTGCGTGACATCTGGCAAGTCACTCAGCATCTGCAGGTTGCAGCCGTTGTCACAAAGTGTCAGTTGTTCCAATAGTACCTGGGAAATCCCCTCTCACGCAGCATCAGAACCAGGTCTGCACAAGCGCCATGTTTATTGCTGCAGCAGGGTTCGATGTGGGTCTGGTACCTGCTGCCACAGGGCTGGAAAGGCAGGTCAGTAACTCCATCCTCCACTTAAGTGGATATTTTCAGCTCAGTTCCCTGCTTCTCAATATGCCCTCTGCAAAATGGGGATGATACAACCCCAACACCTCGCTGGGAGGCTGTGAAAACCAGCGCACTCACATGTAGGGAGCTCTCAGGCACAGGAGTGATCATCACAATGAAGCAGTCCATAGACATATGAAAAATGTGTTCAGAGGACATGCCCTGAATACCAGCCCCTTCAGCATTTCTAGTACTTGACTCTGTAACCTCAGCACTCTTTGCTGAATAGTGGTTTTGTGCATCTCTTGGGATGTTTTTAGAAGCAAGCTGAATAAAACAGGAAGCTTGTCCATGCCATCACATCAAAACTCAGGTTATCTGCAGGGCTGCAACCTTTAGCTCCGTTGAAAATCTGAGTCCATTTAAACAAGTAACACAGCCTCTTTCTTTGGCCCTGGGAGGGAGTCCCTGAAAGCAGAGCAGAGGCAGACTCTGGGCTGTGGACTCAGCTGCCCTAACGAGCATGTCCTGCTGCTGCCCTGAGCTGCAGTGACCAGGGAGGTAGTTCTCAGCCTCCATCAGAAGCATGAGATATTCAGGAAATGCAGCCAAATCTCAGCTTAATATGTGAAGTCTTTTTTCTTTTCTTTCTTTTTTTTCCCCCTAAGACTTATAATATGGCCCAAATTAGAGTGAGTTTTTCCCTGCCCCCCCATCCCAGAGCTGGCGAGAAACCAGGTTTCAAGGCCCTGCTCCAAAGCTGAATCTGTATGATCTTGCAGGATGAAAGGCACTCTGGAGATGTAAGCTTATAGTACCAATTAACAGAAACAAGTTCGGATGCTGTTTCTGCCTACATGCAAAGGAAACTCAGCAGAGACTTGAGACACAGAATCGCACAAGGGATGGCTGACACTGATAGGCAGGTATCAGCCTTATGAGCAGGCAATTAATCATATGGGTAGCCGTGCTACCTCGGCTTTAACCAGTCTCAGAGGTGAAAGGTGCAATCGTGCAGTTCACAGTCAGAGTATAAGGGGACAAAAAAAGGCTTGAACTGCCAATAATTAAAACAACTCTCAAGTAACTGGATGCCTCCAGCATCCTGGAGAGAGTGCTGGAACCTTTCTCCTTGTAGAGCGTCAGTTCAAATGCAGATCTTCTTCCAAGGACTTAGGTGGCATCAATTAACTCCCAGGGATTAGACTTGTGTGTCTGCCAACTGGTGCCACTTGAGAGGAGAGCACATTTCTGCCCTGAGTGGGGTCCTCTGCCCAGAGGCACGCTGATGGGGCACAGCTCACATGAGGACCCTCACAAGGATGCGAAGAGCACAGCACAAGCCAAGCTGAACTTGTGTCAGCTCAAAATCAGGAAACCAAAACAGGAGCGATCCGTGGCTATCCAAGCAGTCCCGAGCTGAGTTGCTTTGCCCATCTTGCAAAAAACCTTTCAGAGAAAATAGATCCCAGCAAATTGGTCAGTCGTGCTCAGGTTTTAAGTGCTCATTTTTGCTGAGCCTTTTTTTCTGTTTCAGCTTCTGTGTGTTCCTCAAAGAGATAAAATCCGGAAAGAGAAGGGGCCTGCTCCCTCGCAGAGGGAAGGTGGACTCCACACTGCGCTGCTGCAGCTGTGCGGGATCTTGCAGCTTCCAGAAAAGCTTCTCCTGGCTTTGGCATTGGCGAGAACAGACGACCTTGAAGCGAAACACTGAAAGTTTGTGTGACTAAGTGGATTTACCACAATCTCCGGCACCAGATAAATCTCCTCCCCTGGCCCCCAGCCCTCCCCTGCTTCCCTTTCCCACGCAGGCTCATCCAGCCTCGTGTCGCTGGCCAGCCCCTGCCCTACTCTGTGCCATTCACTCTTGGGATTTACCTTCACTGCCACCAGCATTTTGTCGTTGGTGGGGCTGAGGTTGTAACACTCGGCCAAGAACACCTTCCCAAAGGCACCTTCTCCCAGCTCCCTCTTCAAAACGATGTCTCTCCTCTTAATATGCTGGACATCTGTTGGAGGGAGGGGAGGAAGAGGGAGAGGGTTGAGGGAAGAATGAATCAGGGTTAATTCAGGGAATGGAAAACAGCTAATTCAATTTTCTAGCAAGCTGCAAAGGATCTGAAACTGCTTTGCAAAAATATCTACAGGGATCTTTTTACCCACCCACAGAATGCAGCCATCTCTGGGACGGAGCTAGCCTCATGCAAAACGTCTGCGAGGAAAGTACTTGAGGTTTCTCATGTTTTCACTATAAGCTCATGGCAATCTTGTCCTCAGTGAGAGGATCCTTTGGGGCTAAATCTGCTACAAAGGCCTGAATCTCTTTGGAATGATCCTGGAAGTAATTGACCTCCTGTGAGGCGTAACAAAGGTCACATACTTCTGATGCCAGGCCAGGTGAGATTAGAAGGTCCTGTTGAGTTTTGCATTTCAGTTGGGATCAGCTTAAACCCAAACTTGGGCAGATTTTTGAGGCTGGACTTTGGCAAGTCAAAGCATTCCTAAGGGGAGGAGAATCACTGACCCCCATGCACCTTAAGGCAAGAGCAGAAGCTGGCTGGAAGTGCCAAGTACTGCCCCACAGCAAGACCCTGACCCCGCAGCCATCTCCAACGCAACTGTTCCTTCAGAAACAAGGTCATCCCAGGATAAAGTCATTGGCACAACACACAGACTCAACCCATTACTTTCAATGATCCTTTCCACTGACATTTAGGACAGCAAGGACTGACAGAGAATAGCAAGCAAGCTTTCAGGAAGAATCAAAAGAGCAATAGCTATTAATTTAACAAAGGTGCAGAGGTCTATGAAGATTGGCCTGCTCAGCTAACAGAGTCATTCATAAGGGCTAGATCTACCCAGTTACTGGGCACCTACAAAGGTAGATAAGTGACTAGCAGGATCTCCGCAAATGCTGGGTCATGAGTAAATGTCACTGGTTGCTGGGAGAGCTTGGAGGTCTCCATACTCTTTCTTGGGATGACACTAGAGCACAGCTGCTTCCTGACAAAGGTGTAAGCACCTTTCTGGCATCACAGTGCCCATACAGCTCCTCTGGAAATACAAAATGGCTTTTTTTAATGCCTGGAACGAACTGTGGAAGCAGCTAGAGACGCACAGCCATGAGAGTGTTGTCTGGATGCGCAATACGCAGACTTAATATCTCTAAACTGCTCTTCAGTGATGCTTACTGCCTCCCTTGAGAACTGTAGTAGCACAGACCACCCCCAGCTTCAGCCTGATGGTCATGGCAGGGCAGTGGGAGTTACACACTCTTCTCCAGAGCTTGATGAACAAAAGCTGATGCATTAGAGGTCACCTCAAGTAGCGGCATTAGATGGGACAGTACCCTCTTCCCACTCCTCAAGTGGGGCATTCATAACTTGGCCCTGCATCTGCTTGCTCACAAACCAGACTGTTTTTGCGTCTTTTCCATCTCTTCCGTGTGCCACAGAGGCTGGACAGGTATGTACCCCTTAGCTCAGATGCATTTCCCTTGGGGCACTGCAGATGCAGGAGGTGGAGGGGACTAACACCAGCTTTCCAACTGGCTGCAGGGAAGCATCACCAACAGTGACCATAATCTGCCACCAGCTGCTACCACCCAGGTGCCTGAGTAGGCACCCGCATCGACCCAAAGGAGCATATGCCCCACAGCAACATAGGTATCACTTAATGCATCAAAACCCCAGTCGATTGGAAGACTAATATCCTAATGGCTTTCATACAATTAAGCTTTTTAATTAGGAGCTCACAGGCAGGTTTAAGGAGCTGCCATCTCCGGTCCGTTTGCTTGTTTGGGAAGATGGATGTTGCAAGATTGTATAAGCAATGGGCCTTGTAAAGAAGGATGCCTCTATAGAGAATTCCTGTTGACCTTTTCATTAATTGTTCAATAGACTGAAAACTGTTAGTTACCAATATTAATAATATTAGTAACATTAAAGCACAGGATGGTACATCCAAAATGACTTTGGTTTTAAATCTGTAGTGACAGCCAGGGAGAACAAATCACATGTGGATTTTGCCTTCTCCACCTGGTTTAGCTAAGTGTTTAAGGAGCACCTTGAGAAATCTGAAACATTATGTGTTGAAATGTTAAGTGATGCACTTGGGTGAGGAAAGTCCTAATCTCAAAAAGCTCAAATGGCACCAATTTACGTAACAGAGCAGAGGAAAAGGGTTTTTTCCTCTTTCTCTTGGCAAGTATTTCTATAGCACTCATCACTACAGTATCTAGGATTTACTGTATTGATGAACCATGTATTTGCATTCTTGGTCTCCTGAATAGCAGCAGTCAAGAAAGCTGCGGGGGAAACAATCTTGTATTAAGAGGAGCCCAAGGACACTTTAAAAGACTCAGAATCCCAACAGAAAAGTAGAAATTGCAATCCAATTGCCCCATTCGGTGTGAGATAAAAAAGAAACTGCCTCAAAATAACCAACAATACTATTTAAGATTATTTACACTTCTGATGAGTTAGTGGTAACACCATGAGAACTGAAGCAAACCTCTCTTTCTGAACTCCCCAGAGTGTTGCCCAAAATTTGCAGCTCCCAATTTTTCCTTCCAACAACATCTTAATAAATGATCAGACATTTCTGAGAGCCAGCATCCAGACTGTGTAATTAAGTCTACATTATTAAAATAATATCCCATCTGTTTTCAAGACCAGATTTTGCAGCAAGTGGCTAGGGTCACCTGAGAAGCTTCAGGGAAAATTTATGTGAAGAATTAAAGGAGATATTGTGGCAGACAGATATGAACTGAGAGAGGAGCAATCCTTTTGCGGTAGTGGACTCCTGTAGCATTGCTGAATTTCAAGTAAACTTGGATGGTTATAAAAAATTAAAGGTCCATGAAGTTAAGCAGTTTGACAGCAACTGCACTGTCTTAATGTAGAGTCAGAAAAGTACTTTTGCTGATCCCAATTTCTTTCAACCTCAAACAGCCATAAATTTTGCTTCATAGTATTTTAGGCACAAATGGAATAACAAGTGAGTTATAATAAATTGCTTTTTCACATGCTATAGGCTTAAAATACTGAAGTATACACCAAATTCTTCCATTCACAGTGATATCAGCACTATGATTAATTCTACATTACTATTAAATATGGGCTTTAAACATAAAGCAATGACAAACCGCCCTGGCACTGTGCGAATGGTTGTGTTATTGTGCTAACCTTGCATCTCGTTGCTCGTCTGTCCTGGCTGTAACTCATAAGGAAGGCCGAGTAGCCATGAAAGATGCTGTGCTGCAAGGGCACCTGGGAGGTTCATCTGCATAAATCTGTTTACCTCTTCTTGGAGAAAGCTGAGCCCTGTCTGATAAACAGCTGTTGTTTATTTGTTTTAGACAGGCAGTGCTGTGCTAATCTGTCTCGGCTGTGTTGCAGTCAGCCCTGCCGACAAGGTGTATGCACACTGTCTTCCCATAAGTACCACTCTTTTTTTTTCTCCCCCCTGCACCATTAACTTATAAAAACAAGCCAACAAGACAATTCAAAAGAAGAAACCATGCAGGAGCCACAGCACGACCTGACAGGAAAATAACCAAACTTGACAGCATGATGGGAACTCATTCAAGACAGCGCTGTACCTACAGGAAGGATGTAAGCATACAACGCTGAAGTAATTCCAGCTTTAAATGAAACATCTTGCAGTCCTTGTTTTGGGATTACTGTGTTGCTGCACGACACAGAAGGAGAGTTGGGCAGATCCCCCACCTTTCTTCTTGTCCATCAAGATTTAACACATGGAGAATGTGTTTCAAGCTCTCGCTTTCACTGTTGTTCTGAATGACACACGAACCACACCAGAAAACACCCGACCTGCAGCTGGTTGGAAATGCCCCATGACTTCAGTTCAGTGACAGCAGCACGTGGGTAAGCTAGAGCATTAACAAGAAGCTAAGCCTGGGCCACTGCACTCACCTTTACAAATTGCCTCCAGAGCTGAAAACTTTCCTTTTCTCTGGAAGAGCTAAGGCAGCAGGGTTGCAGCTTTGGATCTGCGATGGGATCTCACCTAACCTCCTTTGAACCTGTTGCAGGATGGCTGACTTGATCTGTGCTTAAAGTGCACTCAGTCAGAAAAGTGGCTATCTAAAACCAGCAAATTCTTGCTCCCCATATTAGCTCCCATGTGTCCCTTAGTCATGTCTGCTCCTCTTCTCAACACAAACATATTCTAGCTTGCTAACCCTGCGAACCCAGCACAGCCGTGGGACATGGGGAAAGAAGAAGAGGGAACAAGATTGATTCTGCTTTTCTGTTACATCAATCTACCGTGTCCTGATGGGTCACTTCTGCACTAGCCCCTGGGATAGAGCCTGGAAAAGCCAGAACTTTTTTGTTTAAATCACTGATTCAATGATTCTTCACCCGTCTTTTACACTCATATTTCAGAAGCCCTGTTGCTTGTGACAAAGTCAAGGCAAAAAGACACCGACTCAGCCTCCAAGTCCCAGGCAGAGCATACAAAGCTCATTAGAGACCATGTATGATGAAATCACCTTTTTTCTAATAACCAGCTCATTTCAATCACATGAGCAGAAATCAGTAAGTTGCATGGGTACATTTCATGACTCTAATTTTCCAATTATTGTCTCATTTCCAAATCAGTCCTGGGGGTCAGGTGAGGAAGAGTTGGGTTCAATGACACTGAGAATTCTGCATTTCAGATTCCCATCACAGCCAGCATCCTTAAAACCATGGTTTGATGATACTCTTGAATCCTGGATGCACATGATGAAGTGTTTGGACACAGATGACTACAGCATGAGGTAAATGGACAAATCAAACTCCAGAGTAAACCACAAGCAGTGTCAGTATTTCAGTTACAGCAAAATGCAAAACTGCTTCTTAAGCTGGATCATTTACACTGACTGGAACTCGGTCTGAAATCAATTCCTCATATCTCCTGCTTTCAAACTTCTGGACAGTGGTCTGTCCGGTTGCTGTCTTTCTAGCAGGTTTCTCGTCCTTGGACTCCTAATTCACGAATG